GTGTCCCCCTGTCCCCACCATGTCCCTTTGCCACCTCCCTGTCCCCGCCGTGTCCCTTTGTCACCTCCCTGTCCCCGCAGCTTCCTGGAGGCCGACCCCGGCGAGGACACCTGCACCGTCACCCAAGGGGACATCGCGGCCGCCGTGGACATCGCCAGCGCCGCCAAGGTGGGACAGCCACCCTCAGGTGACACCGGGAGGGGACATTGGGGACAACAAAAGCGTCACCCGCCTTTGTCCCCGTTCCGCAGCATTTTGAGCTGAAACTGGAGCAATTTGGGCCCTACCGCTTGGATTACACCCGAACGGGACGGTGAGAGCGGCCGCGTGGCCCTGTCCCCATGTGTGTGTCCCCTCCGCGGTGTCACCCGTTGTCACTTTTTGTCCCCAAGGCACCTGCTGCTGGGGGGCCACCGGGGCCACGTGGCGGCACTCGACTGGGTCAACCAGACCCTCTCGTGGGAGGTCAACGTCATGGAGACGGTGACGGACGTGGCGTGAGTGACACAACAGGCGGCGGCGTCACCCGTAGGTGACACCGGTGTCATCGGTGTCACCGGTGTCCCCAGGTGGCTCCACGCCGAGACCATGTTCGCGGTGGCCCAGAAGAGGTGGCTTCACGTCTATGACAACCAAGGGCTGGAACTCAACTGTCTCCAGCGCTTCCCGGGAATCCTCCGGATGACATTCCTGCCCTACCACTTCCTGCTGGCCACGGCGGTGGGTGACACGTCCCCGGTGTCCCCTTGTCACCAAGGGGACGGTCCTGATGTCCCTTGTCACCTTACAGAGCGCCAGTGGCTTCCTGCAGTACCTGGACGTGGCCGTGGGGAAGGAGGTGGCCGCCCCCTGCACCCGCGGTGGCCGCTTGGGCGTCCTGGCGCAGAACCCGGCCACCGCCGTGGTGCACCTGGGCCACGGCAACGGTTTGTCCCCAAAGTGTCCCCAAAGTGTCCCCAAGGTGGCCCCAAGGTCGCCCCAAGGTGGCTCCTGGTGGCCCCGAATGGCCCTGAGGTGGAGGAGGGGGGCCCCTGGTGGCCCCCAAGTGTCCCCAAGGTGTCCCTAAGGTGGCCCCAAGTGGCCCCCAAGTGTGCCCAAGGTGGCCCCAAGGTGGCCCCAAGGTGGCTCCTGGTGGCCCCGAATGGCCCCGAGGTGGAGGAGGGAGTCCCCTGGTGCCCCCCAGGTGGCC